TCATTCGAAAACGTCCGAAAAATATAAAAATTCAAAAAAAGACTTAAAAACATCTCAATTTTTGAAATGCACTAGTCACCTTAGAATATCAATACAAATAAAATGTAAAAAATCCACATTTTTTCGTGACTTCTCAAAAAATATCAAAAAATTTAATTCACAAACGTCCGAAAAATATAAAATTAAGAAAAATACATAAAAACACCTCAAAAAAATCCCGAATCGTGCCAGTCACCTAGAATATAGATACGAATAAAATATAAACATTTTATATTTTTTCGTGACTACCTGAAAAATATCAAAAATATTAATTCGTAGACGTTTGAAAAAAAATAAAAATCAAGAAAAAAGACATAAAATACCTCAAAAATTCCCAAATCGCACTAGTCAACATAGAATATCGATACGAATAGAATATGAAAATTTCACATTTTTCATGGCTGCCCAAAAAATATCAAAAATTTTAATTTGTAAATGTCTGAAAAATAAAAAATCAAGAAATGTACATAAAAACACCTCAAAAATTTCCGAATCGCACTAGTCACCATAGAATATTGATACAAATAAAATATCATAATTTAACATTTTTATCGAGACTGCCTGAAAAATATCAAAAATTTTAATTTGTAAAAGTTTAAAAAACATAAAAATCAAGAAAAAGACATAAAAACACCTCAAAAAATTCTTAAATCGCACCAGTCACCTTAGAATCCTATACAAATAAAATATCAAAATTTTACATTTTTCGTAATTTCTCGGAAAATATAAAAAATATTAATTCGTAAACGTCTGAAAAATATAAATATCAAGAAAAAGACATAAAAACACCTCAAAAAATTCCCGAATCGCACCAGTTACCTTAGAATATAGATACGAATAAAATATCAAAATTCATATTTTTTCGTGACTGCCTGGAAAATATCAAAAATTTTAATTCGTAAACGTCCGAAAAATATAAAAATCAAGAAGAAGAAATAAAAACCGATGATGTGCCGCGAAATCTTGGAACATTTGATGCTTGAAAACTAAGAATTGATACTAGAATCGAGTGTATTTATGTGGATATAATGTGTTTGGTAATGTTTGTACATGTGAAGTATGTGAATGTGAAAGAGGAAAGAAAAGAAGGATGCTGACAACCAAAAGCCAAATGAAGACCATGGAGCCCATTACGAGTCATGGTCAACTAAACGAGCCGTCGTGAAGCTTGTGAAGAGGAAGCAGTACACTAGAAGTTGATGCAGCTGATGACAAAATTCTCCAAGTGAAGACCACGAGAGTTATTACGGGCAGTTGTCCTTGTCATAGATCGTGGTGTTGTCCGTGGAGATAAGTCAGTAAGAAGACTTCAAGGAGCCATATTATGGGTTGGCCAAGTAAAAACCACAGACGCCCAGATGGGCCGTGGTCATCATGACGGGTCGTGGTGATGATCATGATGCATTTCCAGTGGGTGTCTCAAGAAGCTGAAAAGTGAATTTGCCAAGTTAAGACCACGGGTACCTAGACAGACCGTGGTCATTGTCACGAGCCGTGGTGATGTCCGTGACAAGAATCCAGTGTGCAAGTCTTGAAGAGTCGATTTTGGGTGAGTCCAAGTGAAAACCACGAAGGGCTTCATGGACCGTGAAACCCTTGACGGGTCGTAGAGCTGTTTGTAAAGTGCCCGACATTTCAGTCCTACTTCGAGTATGATTCTTTATAAAACACTATTTTTGAATTAATTAGAGCGTTTTTAGTTTTTATTTGATCTTACCTTAAAGAAGGAACGTGTTTTCCATCATGCTGAGCTTTTGATTATCGATTTTAACATTGAATTAAGTTTGAAGGTTGGATTTTTGATTCTTGAATATCAAAGTGGCTTGTTGATTTGCTTATTCTCGTAAGTACTATTTTAACATGTTTTCATTGTATAATTCTAATTGTTTACGTGAAATCATGAGTGGCTAAACACCACGACTGGGGTTGTGGGATCCATGACGTAATTCTGATTGTAATTTTGGAAAACGAGTAAAAGCAGGTTTATGTTTACAAATTGTAATTTAGCTTTCGTTATTCATGTATTATGATGAGTGCACACATTAGAGTGAGCCTGTATCTGTCATTTGTTCGAGAGAAAAATTATAGTTCAGAAAAAGTTAAATTACTCTGACGAAATGGAGTCAAGGTTTCAGTTCGAGAGAAAAGAATCTTAACACCATTGTAAGCGAAGGTAAATCGTGTAAGACTCTAGGACCGAGAGTACTTGAGTGAGATTATCTGAGTAGACTGAGAAGTGTCAGATATAGCTAACTCGCATGTATTTTGTAGAGGTAAATTGCTTGAAAATCAATTACAGAAGAACATTAGACGCAATGTTATGGGGAGCACAATCCTAGTTTCATTTAAGTATTGAAACAACTTCTAAACTGATATTTTGTTAAGTGTTGAATTAGACTTTAGTTTATGACTTTGGTTACTAGAACATCACAATAATACCAATTTTATTTCATGTAATTGTTTAATTAGGAAATAATAACGACATTTGAGTAAAATGCGATAGTGAAATCATTTCTGTAAAGAAATTCTCTGTGGGATTGACCTCAACTCATGTTGAGTTCTATAAATTGATTTCGACCGTTTGTATCTCTTAATTGAGGTGTAATTTTGGACGTATCAAATTTTGGCGCCGCTGCTAGGAAATTTCAATTCATAAGTGTTTTACTAGCTTTTATTCTAAGTGTACTTAGATTTCCTAATTTTACGTCTTGTTCTTTGTCTGTCTCTTTCAGGTGAGTTCGACTGTGTATGCCAAATACCAGAAGTAAGGGATCCCTATTAGTCCCGTACGATCCAGAACTTCGGAAAACAATTCGTAATATGGTGAACGCACAAGAACTTGAGGCGCAGAGACAGAGATTTAGATTGGAAGCTGAAACCGTTGCAAGAGGTATTCAGCTGAATGTTGTGAACAACCAACCTAGGGTAGTGAACAAAAACATAGCTGTGGATGGAGTCATTCCCCCCACTGCCAACCAATAGCTCCAAGGGGTAGAACACAACCTCCAGCTCATATGATGTATGAAGAGGATGATGTAGACTTGGATGGAGTTGGAGCCACTGGAGCGATAGTGTTACCTGCACTACCTCCAGGCATTAAGTTCACAATAACCAGCATTATGATTCAACTGCTAAATCTGAAAGGTATGTTCAGGGGTGCAACAGGTGATGATGCTAACCAACATTTGATGAACTTTGTGGCGATTTGCAAATTGCAAGAGATTCCTGGAGTAATCCAAACAATGATGAGATCGAGGCTATTTCCTTTGCCTCTTACTGGAGAGGCAACCAACTGGTTGAATGAGATGCCGGTTGACTCAATCAAGACTTGGGCAGAGTTGAATGAGGCTTTCCTGGAGCGATTCTTTCTGGAATCAAAAGAGCTGCAGATGACAGACGAGATCAATGCCCATAAGCAGCTACCAGGAGAAATGATGCATGACACTTGGTGGAGATTCAACCAAAAGCTGAAGAAGTGCCCAAACTATGGTCTCACTGAGAGACATCTAAAATAGGCATTTTCCATGTCTTTAAATTATGTCACTAAACATGTTGATGCAGTGTGTGAAGCATCATTTTTGAGGAAGCCATTCTCAGAGAGCATGCAACTGATGGACGAAGTGTCAAAGAATAACAGGGCATGGTACACCAGGGATAAAGAAGTAGGAGATCTGGCTGTCGGCTGAACAAAGGAAGAGAGAAGAAGAAAGGGATCATGATATGGCACACATGAGGACCCAAATAAATCTACTCACGAAGCATACTGTCTCCAAGTCTGAAAAGGTAAATGCCGTGAGTCAACCAAACAGGTTTGAAGATCAGGATATTGATTTAGATGACGAGGCAAATTACCTGGGAAACCAAGGAGGTTTCCAAAATTATAACTCAGGAAACCAGGGTTATAATTCTGGAAATGCATATCGAAATTACTCAAGGGAAGGACAATATGATAGGCCAGCAACTAGAGAGCAAAGAAACTGGCAGAACAAAGATGGGTATAAAAATGACCGCAGTGGTGTCTATGTGCCCCCATGTAATAGAGACCGGGCAAGTGGTAGTTCCAGCGGGTTTAAGGAAGACATGTTGGCTAATAAGGTGCTCCAAAAAGTTAAAATTAACTGATGCAGGGGTAAAGGAGATGAAAGGTGACTTTTCCAGTATGAGTCAACTGGTAGATTCTCACACCATCTCTATCAAGCAAATTGAGCAGCAGTTGGGGCAACTCTCAAGAAAGAAAAAGAGGTTGAGGGAACCTCGCCTTTACAACAAATCCCAAGACCACCTCCTCCTTTCCCTCAAAAGGCTTAAAAAGAAAGCCGAAGATGGGAAATTTGCTAAGTTCATCACCATGCTGCGACAACTGTCAATAAACATCCCACCGGTGGAAGTATTAGAACAAATACCAGGATATGCCAAGTTCATGAAGGACTTAGTCACAAAGAAAAGAGTTGTAAGTATTGATTTGACTAACCATGTTCATCACTGCAGTGCTATTTCTACCAGGTCTCTAGTGCAGAAGAAAGAGGATTCGGGTGCATTTACTATCATACCATGCACTATCGGATCAATCAAATTTGCAAAGGCCTTGTGTGATCTAGGGGCCAGTATAAACTTGATGCCGCTGGCCATCTACAAGCAACTGGGGTTAGGAGTTCCAAAACCCACATCCATGAGGTTGATGATGGTAGATAGGTCAGTGAAGCGACTTTTGGGCATCCTATGTGATGCGCTCGTAAAGGTGGACACGTTCATTTTTCAGACAAACTTCGTGATCTTGGATTGCGAAGTAGAGTTTGAGAAGACCATTTATAGCCATAGGTCGAGCATTGGTAGATGTTGAGCGAGAAGAACTGAAATTCAGACTAAACAAAGAAGAGGTAAAGTTTTAATGTTTGCAGGTCCATGAAGCAACCACATGACATGAATGTGGTGTCTGCAATATAGTTTTTGATGAAGAAAAAATGGGAGCAAGCATTGAAGAGAGGTTGACTGTTGAAACCTTAGTTGCAGTGCTGATGAATTTTGATGCTGATTTCCGGTCTGACTATGTAAAGACCGTGAATGCTTTGCAGGGTATGGGAGCACACTCTTATGCTCCAAAGAAATTCGACATGGATTTGAAAAACAGGCCAAGTCCTCTAGCAAAACCATCCATTGAGGAGCCACATATGCTGGAACTGAAACAGTTACCCAGTCACCTGAGGTATGTATTTTTGGGAGCTAACAACACTTTACCTGTGATTTTGGCTGTAGATTTGAATGATGAACAGGTCCAAGCTATGACCAAAGTGTTGATTAGGTACAAAAGTGCCATTGGGTGGGCCACTGTTGACATCATCGGGATACCTCCGGGTATATGCACCCATAAGATCCAACTTGAGGAGGACTGCAACCCAAGCATTGAACACCCGAGGAGGTTAAACCCACCTATGCAAGAGGTGGTAAAAAAGAAATAATCAAGTGGTTAGATGTTGGGGTGGTGTACCCCATTTCTGACAGTCACTGGGTCAGGCCAGTGCAATGTGTTCCCAAAAAGAGTGGTATGACTGTGGTCGCGAATGCAAAGAATAAGCCGGTCCCACAAAGACGAGCTACTGGATGGTGAGTGTGTATAGACGACATGAAGCTGAACAAGCGGACCTTGAGTGATCACTTCCCAATGCCTTTCATGGACCAGATGCTTGACAAGTTGGCTCGAAAAAGGTGGTATTGATTCTTAGATGGATACTCTCGCTACAACTAGATATCGATTGCTCCTGAAGATCAGGAAAAGACTACCTTTACTTGTCCTTATGGCATCTTTGCATTTAAACGCATGCCATTTGGACTATGTAATGCAACAACAACTTTCCAAAGGTGTATCATGTCTATCTTCCCAGACATGGTGGAGGACACTCTGGAGGTATTCATGGATGACTTTTCAGTGGTAGGTGGTACTTTTTATGATTGTTTGCTGAATCTTAGCAGGGCCCTACAGAGATGTATGGAGGAAAATCTAGTGTTGAACTGGGAGAAGTACTATTTCATGGTCAAGAAAGGCATAGTACTTGGACACAAGGTGTCATAGAAAGGGATTGAGGTCGACAAGGCCAAAATTGAGGTGATTGAAAAGTTACCTCCGCCGGTCTGTGTGAAGGGTGTTTGAAGTTTCTTAGGACATGCTGGATTCTATAGGCGTTTCATCAAGGACTTCTCCAAAATTGCACACCCATGTGCAAGCTTTTGGAGAAGGAAGTGAAATTTGTCTTTGATGAGGCATGTCTCAGAGCCTTCAAATGCCTAAAAAATAAATTGATTTCTACACCAGTGATCATTGGCCCAGATTGGGCAGAGCCATTTGAGGTAATGTGCGATGCTAGTGGTATTGCTTTAGGATTTATGTTGGGGCAGAAGCGCAACAAGATGTTTCATCCGATTTACTATGCTAGTAAGTTACTGAATGGGGTACAACGAAACTACACAGTTACTGAGCAGGAACTACTGGCGGTGGTGTATGCTTTCGAAAAATTCAGAGCTTACTTGCTGGGTACTAAAGTGATAGTCCATACGGACCATGCAGCTTTGAGATACCTCATGGAAAAGAAGGATGCCAAACCAAGGTTGATCAGATGGGTGTTACTTCTTCAGGAGTTTGATTTTGAGGTTAAGGATAGGAAAGGTTGTGAGAACCAAGTGGTTGATCACCTGTCGATGTTGGAGGCTGAAAAGAAAGAGGAACTCGAGCTCGACATAAATGATTTGTTCTAGGATGAGCAGGTATTAGCTGCTACTTTTGATCTTATTCCTTGGTTTGCTGATTTTGCTAACTTTGTTGTTAGTGATTTGATGCCGGAGGGGCTGGCATATCAACAAAGGAAGAGGTTCCTACATGATGTGGCTAAATATTTTTGGGATGAACCTTACCTATACAAGGTGTGTGATGACAACATCATCAAGCGATGTGTTCCTGAAGCTGAGATGTTGCATATTCTAGAAGCCTGCCACTTCTCTCCGGTAGGTGGTCATCATGGAGGTGCTCAGATAGCCCACAAGATACTTCAGTGTGGGTACTACTGGCCCACAATTCATCAGGATGCAATGGACATAGTAAGGAGTTGTGATGTGTGCCAGCGCCAATGAGCCATCTCTCGGCGCCACGAGTTACCCATGACACCTATTCTGGAGGTGGAGCTGTTTGATGTGTGAGGAATCAATTTCATGGGCCCATTTGTGAGCTCCTATGGGCAGAAGTACATATTGGTTGCAGTGGACTATGTGTCCAAATAGGTTGAGGCAGTTGCTTTGTCTGAGAGTGATGGCAAAAGTGTTGCTGGTTTTCTGAAGAAGAATATCTTCTCAAGGTTTGGCACAACTATTATCAGTGATGGCGGGTCCCATTTCTGCAATAAGGTATTCAGTTCTCTTCCGGCTAAATATGGAGTTAAACAACACAAGGTAGCAACACCTTATCACCCACAGACTAGTGGCCAAGTGGAGGTCTCTAACAGAGAAATTAAAGCAATTCTGGCTAAAACGGTGAATGCCAACAGGACATATTGGGCACGAAAGTTAGATGATTCTCTATGGGCATATCGAAAAGCTTTCAAGATGCCTATTGGTATGTCTCCATATCAATTGGTGTTTGGAAAGGCATGTCATTTGCCGTTGAGCCTGAGCATAGATCATTTTGGGCTTTAGTTGGAGCGAAACTGCAAACCTGAGATTGGATCAGATCAATGAGATGGATGAGTTCCGTCTGAGAGCCTACGAGAGGTCTGCACTGTATAAGGAGATGATGAAGCTATATCATGACAAACATATTGAGAAAAGAAGCTTCGCTTTGTCCATTTCCAGGAAAATTGAGATCCAAATGGTCTAGACCTTTTAAGGTAACACAGGTGTGTCAGTCAGGTGCTATTGAGCTAGAAAATGATAATGGCGTAAGGTTCAAAGCCAATGGTTAGCGAATCAAGACATATTTGTGTGTTCCAGAAAATGTGAAGATTGTGGAGGAATGTAAACTTGATAAAGTCTGAGTAATCAAGTAACCTGCGTCGCGCCGCGACGTTAAATTGTGCACTGCTTGGGAGGTAACCCAAGATGTAATTGTGTTAGGTACTTTCCTTTTTCCTTATTTTTCTTTGTTTTTATAGAGTCACTGTGTGTTGATGTGTGCAGGAGAAAATGGGTTAAAAATTGTAGGAACTGGGTGCAGACTGCTCTTCACGAGCAACCTCATGGACCGTAGTGCCCTTCATGGGCAACTTCACGGTCCGTCACTCTAAACACCAACTTAAGGGAGCTACTGGAAATTTCAAAAAAAAGGTTCATGGAAGGGTTCACGGTCCGTCAAGCCTTGTACGGACCGTGGTGACCTTCACGGGCACTTTCACGGTCCATCGTCAACAACCCAGTCTTACCAACACCTGAACGACCCACACGAAAGGAATAATTGAAATCATAACGTTATTAAGTTCCTAAAGCGCCAAGGGTCATTTTTTTCTCCCTATTCTCTCTTCCATAACGGTTATCACAATCATACTTAGGTTTCCATCATCCATAAGTTCTAAATTCTTAGAAAAATCGAAACCCTAGTTCTAGTGTCAAAGCATCAAAGTGTGGGTTATTATTTCTCTGAAGTAGTTGAACCATAAGTTTTCTCTCATTCGAAGTAAGTATCCTAATTTACTTATTATATGCTTAATTTCATCTATAAACAAGTTAGAACTACGTATATTTGATCAAAATTAAGCATGATTGTGTGAGAACTGATCTTTGATGATATTTACTTAGGAGGGTCTGATGCATTGTTGTGGGTTTATCTGAATTTTGTCTAAATTGGTTGTGATATTTTGTGGGGTAGTTGAATTTATGTAGAGCAGTGTTGATGTGGGATTATATGTTTGGTTGAATGAGTATTACGTTCAGTTGCCTGGTGTTTGATGGATATCAGTTTAGATTGTGTACAATTGATAATTTGTATGTGGGTAGGATTCAAGTCTATGTGTATTAGCTGAATGGTTAAGTGTAAGATCACGAGAGGTTTCACAGACCGTGGAGGCCATCACGAGCCGTGAAACCACTCGTGGACCACACTTTGATTTCATCCACCCAGTAGATAGGTTCATGAGCACATCACAGACCGTGGTTCACTCCACGGGTCGTGAAACTGTCCGTGAACAACACTTGGTCAATCTACTATTGCACACTGATTTTGTAAGAACTCCACGAGAGATTTTACGGACCGTGGTACCTACCACGACCCGTGTGAGCTCTCGTACAATTTACTTGGTTTGTAAATTTTTTTTCTTCTTTTATGTACTTTTATTTCTGTCGTCTTTTGATAATTGTGGCCCTTCCCCATGATAGATTGGGAGACGACATTATTAAGGCAATGCGTCACAATGTAATTACATAGGGGAAGTCTGAGTACCCGATAGTTGATTTGTGTACTAATGAGTGTTGTGTTTCTCAGGTACTATGCCTCCAAGAAGAAAGAACGTAGCCCCATAGTCTGCACCTATTGCTTCTCAATCTGAAGGTCATGGCGACTTCGAGTGTAGTAGTTTTGAGGTGCAAATTAATACCACCATTGAGGATCACTCACCTTGGGCTACTAGAGCACATACACGGAGGGAAATTCTCCAGGACACTCCTCCCCAGTCTTAAGAGAGAGGTAGTCATTCCTGTGGCAGTGAGGAATCAAGAAGTTAATCTGATGTTGATTCGGGAAGCCAATCTGCTACTGGTTCAGAGGGAACTGCAATGTCCGAAAGCGGATCTCAAGAATATGCTACCACTTCTCCACCTGTAGTAGTACCAGAGGCTGCAATTGGAGCTCAGACAGCGACATCTGCTACGGAGGGGGATGATTAGGTGACTCCAGATGATACAATGGTCCAGTATGTTAGCATCCACGAATTTGACCTAATAGTGTGACAACAACTTATTGACTGTTTCAGAGCCATGTGGAGGGTGATCAAGTAGGAAGACTTCTTCGAACATGGAATTGTGAGCAAGTCGGGGGTGGGGGGGGGGTAGAAAGATACCACTCATGCCCGAAACTAGGGTAGTGATGGAGGACATCCATGCATTCTAGAGATTTACAGGTTGTTCCAGATTCACCAGTTTGAATGGATGACCAATGCTCCTGGAGAATACACCGACCATTTAGCTCGAGGGTTCTATGTTATCTACACAGCCACCCCAATGAACATTGTTGCAGAGACTGAAACAACAAAGCGAGCACAGAAGACGCTTGCAACCACATTGACTTCTTTAGACACAATGAATATTCGGGGTAAGACTGTGAACATCTATGAGGAAACAATTAATAGGATGCTACATGGCCCTGAGTATACAACACCAATTTCTGTGGGACTATTTGAGGGAAAACATCACGCTGTCACTAGTGAATAAGAGATAAAGGATCTTACTTCGCGAGAGTGCATCATGCGTTGGATTGTCGGGTACATTGCCACTGAAAAAGAAGCAGTAGTATGGGTGTCTGATCCACATGTGCAGATTTTAAAGGCATCTCTCACCTTTTCAGCCAAGGTTTGGTGGTCAATAGTTCGAGCTTAGTTGCGACCCACAACAAATGATAATACACTATCTCCGTCATTAACATCATTGGTTGCCAGCCTCATGGCCAGTTACCTTGTGAATTGTCAGGATCCAAGCCTAGGGCCTAGACGTGACATGGCGAATGAGGAACCCGAAGGAACCCCAAACAAGCCTCTCAAACTTGTCATCACACTTCATCGGTCGCGGAAGTACATTCAACATTAATTAACGGGAAATAGGGACTAAGGGCAAACCATTTCAAAATGACATCATAGAACAAGAGTCAAGCTCATTTACAAAATACTTGTCCAACGCACACCTCTACATACATAGATAGGACGGGGCCATGACATACTACCGGCTCCCCTAATAGTCAAAATACAATTGCAAGCTAAAGTCTCAAAACATAGGAGTAGGAAACATAACATAGCCCTCGAATCATTGATGACTCACCAACAACTCGGATAAGCACCGTACTAGCCACGTGAATGGAGAGAAGGATCAAGAGTAGCTCCGGTCCCTACATGGTGACATCATTTAGGCAAAATATGCGTTAGTACTTGGAATGTACTAAGTATGCGGGGTGCAACACAACAATAGACAAGGACACAATCGAAATACAAGAAATAGTTTCATAGGCATTATGAATAACAATATGAGGATGCATGATCAAAGTGAAGTCAAAACATGTTTAAGTAAATCTATACTAATAGTAGATATCATATGTGTATGCATGATCCAACTAATCTATAACCCCAACTTAGGATAGGGGATGCCGTTCACACCCGGACACCCTGGTGGCAAGGTATAAACCCCTCACATGGTTGATGTTGGTCACACCCCAAGCATCCTAGGTGGTGAGATATAAACCTCTCACATGGTTGATGTTGGTCACACCCCAAGCATCCTAGGTAGTGAGATATAAACCTCTCACATGGTTGATGTTGGTCACACCCCAAGCATCCTAGGTGGTGAGATATAAACCTCTCACATGGTTGATGCAACACTTTATATAGGAAATTTCCATTAGGCTCTAATGCAATCTCACGTATGGAATGAACATATACACAAGCTTAGTTTGTTATCAACACATCTCTGGATTCCCATACATCTCATAACTCAAGCTTTAAAGCATCGATTCATCAATTCTCCATAGTTGGACATTTTGTCAAACACCTTGAAGGCATGTAATGGAATTAAAGAGCATGGAAAATAGGGTAGTAATTATGCAGCCAAACCAGTGAACAACCTACAACAACACCTTTTTAACACCCACAATACCACATGAAAATCTCCACATCCATTCCAAATTTAGGTTCAAGTTCTAGAGTCACAACATGCTCAAAACAATCACTTTTCATGTTTAAAATTCAATGTGCAGGAAATTATTACAAAGAACAAGACTAATTTATGAATCTTAACTTAAACCATGAATTAGTGAGTAGAATAGAGTCTAGGCACTATGGGTGGAAGTATCCATGAGTTCAACACCACATACCTTGAGTTTTTATGAAGGTCTTGAGAGTGTCTTCAATGGAAGCTTGGAACTTGGAGCAAGAGTCTCTTCAATCTTGAGAAAGGTTTTGGATTAGGGTTCTTGAGAGAACTTGAGAGAAAATGTGTCTAAGTATGGGAGAGGTGTTTTGGGAAATGTTTTAGAGATGGGAATTGAACTAATGGTATATAGGAAATAACATATGCCCTTTGGAAAAATGGTCCAACACTTAGAAAAAAAAATGAGGCGGGTGAACAGTAAAAACGCTCACTGGAAATTGCCTTTCCTGCCGGACAGATTTTACGAAAATGGGCATAACTTCTTCGTCCGAACTCCGAATGAGGTGAAACAAAGTGCGTTAGGTAGCTAACTCGAAGGGCTTTCCATGGATATGTTATTGGCCACCCAATAATTTGTGTGCTAGGAGATATGACCCTCCAAAGTAGACCCTCGAAAAAGGCTTCACTTGGAAATTTCGGATTTTGATACGGTTGCTCTAAAATTTGGGTTAGACCCATTTCCCACTCAATTTGACCCCCTAAACAAGAATATGAAGTCGGATTTTTGAAAAATGAAACAGATTTTTTTTATATATAGCTAAACAAGTTTCCGGTAACTTTCGAAGCACATTTTTAAGAACTTTTTGGGTCATTTCAATATCTCCCCCTTGGGAACATTCGTCCCCGAATGTGGAAGAGACGTACAAGGCAAGACTTAGTAAGAACATATCAGCCCCAACATGAATGCAAAATTTTTATTTAAACATCACTTCAAGATTTCAAAACTTAGTGTAAAGCATCCATAACTCATCAATTTAAACATATATGCACATTAATGATTCAGGGGCTGAAATGTAAGATTCAATGGAGTACAAAGGACTTAATTTAATACCTTAGGCTTGAGTGGAGTTGAATAGATAAGGATAACGTCTTTGCATGTCCGCTTCGGCCTCCCAAGTAGCACTCTCCACTTGTTGATTTCTCCAAAGCACCTTAACGGACGCCACTTCTTTGTTCCTCAACCTTTTAACTTGTCTATCTAAGATCTGAACCGGGACTTCTTCATACGTCAAATTATCTTCTACAACACCCACAACCTCAAGAGGTACAATAGCGTTAGGATCACCAACACATTTCCTCAACATCGATACATGGAATACCGGATGAACTAATTCCATCTCCTTGGGCAACCCCAACTCATAGGCTACTTTACCAACCCTTCTTATTATCTCATAAGGACCGACATACCTAGGACTTAATTTCCCCTTCTTACCAAAACGAACCACACCTTTCATTGGAGAAACTTTCAAGTAAACCCAATCACCCACTTTGAATTCAAGATCCCGCCTCCTCACATCGGCATAAGACTTTTGATGACTTTGGGCTGTTTTCAACCTCTCCCTAATCATCCTTACCTTCTCAAGAGCATCCATGACCAGATCCGGACCCAACAAGGCCACCTCTCCAACTTCAAACCACCCAACCGGTGACCTACACCGTCTACCATAAAGTGCCTCAAAAGGAGCCATACCGATACTAGAATGATAACTATTGTTGTATGCAAATTCAATCAAAGGAAGATGATCATCCCAACTACCTTTCAACTCCAATACACAAGCTCTAAGCATATCTTCCAAGGTTTGAATTGTTCTTTCGGCTTGGCCATCCGTTTAAGGGTGGAAGGCCGTGCTAAGCTTTACCTTTGTACCAAGACCCTTTTGGAATGACTTCCAAAAGTGAGAAGTGAATTGGGCACCACGATCCGAGATGATAGACAAAGGAATCCTATGCAACCTTACCAATTCATGAATGTACAACTTGGCATACTCTTCAGCCCCGTAAGTAGTTTTAACCGGTAGGAAATGAGCCGACTTTGTCATCCGATCAACCACCACCCAAACTGAATCAAAGCCTCTTCTAGCCTTGGGTAAGCCCACTACAAAATCCATGTTGATTTCTTCCCACTTCCAAGTAGGTATCTCAATGTCTTGAGTTAGGCCACCCGGCCTTTGATGTTCAGCCTTGACTTGTTGACAACTATGGCAACCCGAAACAAATTTTGCAATGTCCTTCTTCATACCGCCCCACCAATACACATCCCTCAAGTCTCTATACATCTTTGTTGACCCCGGATGAATAGAATAAAAAGAATTATGAGCCTCATCAAGGATTCTTTCCCTCACACCATCCACACAAGGAACACATAATCTACCTTGGTACCTAAGGGCACAATCTCCCCCTTGGGAGAAAACCTCCACCTTACCACTACTCACCGAAGCCTTTAATTCTACCAAAGAAGGATCAAGATCTTGCTTGACTATCACCTCATCAACCAAGGAAGACCTTGAACCATCAACAACAACTACTCCTCCACTATCCACCCCTTCTAACCTAACTCCCAATTTGGCCAACCGATGGACCTCCTTAGCCAACTCTTTACTACCTTCCTCCACATGAGCCAAGCTACCCATGGACACTCTACTCAATGCATCCGCCACCACATTAGCTTTCCCCGGATGATAGTAAACACTCATATCATAATCCTTAAGGAATTCTAACCACCTCCTTTGTCTCAAGTTAAGATCTTTTTGCGTGAACACATATTGGAGATTCTTATGGTCGGTGAAGATATCAACATGCACCCCATACAAATAATGACGCTAAATCTTTAAAGCAAAAACCACGGCGGCCAATTCAAGATCATGGGTTGGGTAATTTTTTTCATGAACCTTAAGTTGCCTAGAAGCATAGGCTATAACCTTATCACTTTGCATCAACACACAACCCAAACCGATACGGGAATCATCACAATAAAC